TTTAAGAATTTGATGGACTAGATGCTAACTAATCTACTTAAATCATGTGTTCAAGTCAAGAATAAAATGAGAATAGCCTAGATAACTGAATTAGTTTCTTAATTTAATTTAAGAATAAGTTTAGCTACTATTATAAAATCTACTATATTTAATATTTATATATCTTCAATAGTCTAAGATAATTACATCATCTTCATTGTCACTTTGCTCATCATTTTTCTCTTGTTATAAAGGCACTCCATTAAATACATCAATTCTGTCTTTGTCATCTATGTAAGCATTAGTTTTCTTCATAAAATTTTCTCTTAATTTCCAACCTGTTTAACTTAATTTATCTTTGAGGAGAATTTTCCCATTTTCAGCTTCATTTTTCTTCCTTTCCCTTACAGCCTAGAGTACAATCATAAATTCATCTTCTTCTTCCTCTCTAGCATTACCAAGCGAGTCATCACTACCACAGCCACTATCATCGCTATCTTAGGATTCCTCACCAAACATTCGACGTCTAGCCTCCATTGGATCATCCTCCTCATCGTCTTCATTCGTACAACCAAATTTTCTTTTCAATTTTTTCCTCTTTTTTTATTCTTATTCCATTTCTATCATCATTTCCTCAGCAATATTTTTAGCTTCAATTTTCTATTTCTTTTTCTGAAGTTTTTCTAATCTCTTAACATACTTTCCCCATTCAGTTATATTCAAGGTCTTAAGCAAGTAGTTTCTCTTTTCATCAAGAGTTCTGCATTCAATACGCCAAACCATCTCATCTAAGTAGCACTATAGATGAGATTTTACTCTCTTTAATCGACGAGTTTTCTCGCCTAATTTCATGAATACTATTTCTAGTTCTTTAATTTAAGCCCACATATACTCAAATCCACTTAACAATCTACCTCCCATTCTTTAACCCTTCCTTAACTCACCTTTTTCTTTTCTTAATCTTTGGTGATCATAAAATTTGTCCAAGAATTCCCAACCTACTTAATGATAATAAGGTGTGCATAAGGTAGTATGTCTACCAACAGTTTTAGCAATAAATAATGCTATTGTGTCTATTTTAATATCATTAGTAAGATAAGCTCTTGATCTATTGGTTGACCTCTCAATAAAACCTACAATCCAAAATTCTTCAACGCCAGAATTTGTTTTCAAGTTTAATTTGTATGAATCCATCCAGACCTCTACACCTGCACCTCCTAGCTTCTTTTTCTTCAGATCTCAAACAACTCTATCTGAAATTACTTCTCTCATAAATGAGTAAATACCAAGAATCATTTGTTTAGACATATCAATTCCACCAGTTCTTGATATTCCAAATGCTAGTTCTTTATGAACAGTTTCAACAGTATACCCACGACAATAGTAATAAAAAACAATTCTTATCAATTCCATTAATGTACATTTGAACTCATCAAGAAAGCTTCCCTGCCTGATACTAATTACATTCCCGCATTTATTGTGGCAAGAATACTCTCTTGCATCATGAATATTTTTTGAGTTTATAGAGACTCTCATAGGTATCTCGCAATATGGACATTCAGGCAATTGCCTTATAAGTTCATTTTATTGGCACCAAACAAAAGTACTATCAAAACTCTGAGTCAATACACTTATCTCATCCATCTGATTAAAAGCTTTGCTAACTCTCGCTTTTCTTCCTTTCTTAAAAGGTGCCTTATTTGGATCATTCTCCTGTGGGTTCTCATCTTCTTAATTAGGATTTTCTAACTGGTGAAGTATTTCAGGGTTTTACACTATTTCTGAGTTATGAGTTGAAGGTTATGCTAAGAGATCAGCATCTGTGACATTTGCTGGATTAATACCTTTAGATCTTTCCAATTATTTTTTAAGCTTTTCTTTTCGAGTTTTTTCCTTTTCTCGATCTCTTAATAGACTTAGAAAATTCAT